CAGGACACATAAAACATAGGTACCTACAGAAATGAGTAGAAACTAGTCTAAGCAAGGCAGGATAAGACTTTTCCGGAAAATGATAATGAGCTCATTCACTAAAATTTAAATACGTAATTTAAGTATAAAATTTCAAAGGATTGGGACTATTTTAGGCATATATACCAAAAAAATGTTCTACAAGGTTGAATACGTTTTTTACGGGCACTTAAAACTAGCGAAATTCAAAATGATTTAAAACGCGTCGATTGATGATATCACATAAATATTTTTCATTTGGCTCATGTTGCAAGGAGCTGACCGGCTCGGCTGTGTTGCGCTTTGTGAAAGCACAGCAAGTACGTAAAGGTTCGAATGCGCTGTTGTCGGTTGTGACTAAATGTAGTGCAACGTAAAAAAAATAAATAAAACTAAACATAAAAAATTGTATTCAAATCCAATCAAATCAAAAAAGCTTTATTGTCCAAAAAATTATGTAAATTCCAATGACAAAGCCAAAAAAAAAGGTCTAAAATTAATTTCCTATATCCTAAAAATGTATACTAAGTTAAAATTAAGATGTCAGTGTTGAGAGTAAAAATAAGACAAAAAACTAGAAAGACAAGCACATAACAGTGAAAATTCTATATACAATCAACAACACCTGAACAGTTTACAATACATAAATAAAAGAACATTATAATGGGCTAGATTAGATAGCGTTCAGATACCTCAGCAAATCCAACACAGAACCGACAAGTCAGCGCGGGATGGTAGCAAAATTTTCAAAAACAATCATCACTATAAATAAAGTCAAACACTACATGAAACAGTTTAGGCCTATTAAAAATAAATAATTTAGTAATTGAAAAATTGAAATATCACAGTTTAAGAATCACAGTTTAAAGATCACAGTAAAAGATTAAAAGATTAGTCTGAGTAGAATTCCCCAAGACTGTAATAGGCATTGGTTTCCAGAAATCTCTTTAAAGTTTTTCTAAATTGCCCATAGTCCTCCACACCCTTTATTTCGTCTGGCTTTTTGTTGAAGATCTTAATGCTCTCATATAGGTAGGTATAGAATTTTTCGTTAAGGCAAATTTCGGAATAGGTAATGGAAAATTTTGGTTGCGTAGGTTGTAACCAGTGTCTCTCACTGTATCAGTATTTTTATTTTTTTTAAATATTAGACAGGCTGTTTCCAAAAGGAATATACAGGGAACTGTCAAAATTCTTTCCCGTTTAAAAAGTGGTCTGCAGTTCTGTCCGTATCCTGCATGGCAAATATATTAACTGCTCTTTTTTGTAGTAGGTACAAACACCGATTGAATAGAGTTTTGAGTGGAAAACCCCCAGAATGCTATCCCATAGCGAAGATCCGATTCGATCAGTGCATGATATGTTGTTTTCGCGGTATGCTTACCCAGTTCATGTGCTATAGATTTAACTATATAACACCCCTGTGAAAGTTTTTTATTCAATAAATCTATGTGTTTGTCGAATCGCAGCTTCGAATCTATGTGCAATCCAAGAAATTTAGCTGTTTGTTTCTCTGCGATAACATTTTCATCCAGTGAAATATTTTCAATGCATAATTTCCGCAAGAACTGCGGCGTTTTTGTTAATTGTGTTTAAGCATAATTTCAAAAAAATTGTTATAAAATCTTGAATCCATAACTAATTAATTTAACTACTTTTCATGATATTTTGCCAACATTTCAGAATTAAATCTATTACAAATGTTCAATGTTGACAATTAGTGGCAACACAGTCAAATTGCGAGCTGCGACATCATAGAAATAAATTCTGGATTTTTATTTGGAGGTATTTCTTTTTTTTCTGTTTTCTCAAGAAGGACTTTGAATTTTTCAAAAGTTAAAATACAATGAGCTCTTTCACTAATTTTTGAAATTGGCATAATTGTTTAAAGCAACTAAAAACAGAATTTTCTGTATTTTTACTTTTGAAAAATTCATTGTCTTTCTTTAGAAAACAGAAAAAAAAGAAATACCTCCAAATAAAAACCCAGAATTTATTTCTATGACATCGCAGCTCGCAATTTGACCGTGTTGCCACTAATTATCAACATTGAAAATTTGTAATAGATTTAATTCTGAAATGTTGGCAAAATACCATGAAAAGTAGTTAAATTAATTAGTTATGGATTCAAGATGTTATAACATTTTTTTTGAAATTATGCTTAAACACAATTTAAATCAATTTTTTATGTTTAGTTTTATTTATTTTTTTTACGTCGCACTACATTTAGTCACAACCGACAACAGCGCATTCTAACCTTTACGTACTTACAGAGGGTACACAGCCGAGCCGGTCGATCAGCTCCATGCAGCAACATGAACCAAATGAGAAATATTTATGTGACGTCATCAATTGGCGCGTTTTAAATCATTTTGAATTTAGCCAGTTTTAAGTGCCTGTAAAAAACTTATTTAACTTCGTAGAAAATTTTTTTTTGGCATATATGCCTGAAATAGTCCCTCCTTTGGGATTTTATACTTGAATTACGTATTTAAATTTTACTGAAAGAGCCCATTAAAGTATAAAGTTACCTTTATCGGAAAATTCAACTTACCGTCCGCGTTTGCGGGCGATAAGTTGATCTTACCGTCTCTTTTAGAAGATAAATCAGCTAGAACTATCTATTATATTCACCCAAGAACTATACCTACACTATTATTACCAAAATCGTTGTAGATAATCATGGAAAACATAAAAGTTGTTGATTTTTGGAAGATTTACATATACAGAAGCTGCTAATTTTTTAGTGGAAACGTGCCTTTATATAAAGGGGAAGACTGTTTATTTTTGAAAACAATGTCGAATGGATGCCATCATATTATAGGTATAGTTATTCCATATTCCATTTTTGAACTACTAGAGTCCACTGTGCATAAAACGTAATAAGTATTTTGGGCGTTAAGTGTCGTTAAAATGCGGTAACCACACCCTCGGGCGGTAAATGACACTTTCCGCCATTAATACCTAAATAACTATTAACTATCTATCAAAAGTAGCTTATGTAGCTTGTTTTAGCTAGCTACTTTTCACAGTAGCTTATGAATACATGGAACACATTACCAAAAGCTACAGCTACAAGCTACTTTTTTTTTTCAAAGTAGCTCGAATAAGTTATTAGCTATCAAAAAAGTAGCTAAGTTAGTAGCTTAACTACTTGGTAGCTAGCTACTGCCTAGCTCTGGTCTCAAGACTGTCCCCTGGGGCACTCCCAGGTTCGCGGCATGTGGCTAATTTCAACTTTCTCTGTACTCAATGGGATCTTTCTTGCGTTTTTGATGATCGGGTTCCAGATTTGGTTTGGTTTTAGTGTTTCTTCTTTCCTGTTGAAGTTCTCCGTATGTTTCTGGATTTCTATAGCTTCATGTACAAGACGATTGTGGTATCCGGAAGTTGGTGCAAGAAGCTTGACCTCACCAAAGAGTACCTATTTCATGATTCCCATCACTAAGCGCATGTTCTGCAACTGCCGATTTTTCCGATTGTCCTATTCTGCAGTTTCTTTTGTGTTCGTTCATCCTGGTTCCCATGGATCTTTTTGTCGTTCCTATGTATACCTTACCACATGTGCATGGTATACGATAGACTCCAGCGCTTGACAGTAGGTTCCTCTTATCCTTGGCTGATCTGATCGATTGCTGTATTTTCCTTGTTGGCTTGAAGATTGTTTTTATGTTGTATTTCTTCAAGACTTTCCCTATCCTGTTTGTTTTTGGTCGCATGGCCCTGTCGATTTCAGATGCATTTGATAGAAAGGTCGACTTGAGATGATGTACGGGATACGAGACCTATTTCATCAAATCATTTCACACCGTCTTGCATTGTTATCATCAGTTAGATAATATGGTGCTGAAACGCACTTGTGCAAGGAAATAGTTGGGGGTGGGGGATTTCGCTGAAAAAAATGTTTAAGAAGATGTCGTCATAAACGAGGGAAATATATAATTATACACCGTCTTGCATTCATTTATTCAGTTAATTTGTACACAAACAGAATTGGATCAACCTATGCAAGACATTTTCATGGGGGCGATGGTTTGTAATATTAGATAGAAAGTGTCCATTTTTGAGTGGGGTCAAATATCATTTTACACCACTCCACTGTGGATTTAGATTAAAGCTTGAATGCAAGATAGCCACTGGATACTAATGCAAGACGTCCTGTGGCGGGATTACGGGCCGCAAGACGGAAGTTAATGCGTTGTCTTAGGAGAGAATGAAAAATCATTTTACACCGTCTTGTACTAGCACCAATGGGAAAAACAGAATACATTGATAACATTTTTGAAAATACAAGACGTTCTAAATAAGAAAAAAGGACTGCAAGACGGAGATGAAGATGACTAACTTTGACGGGGGGCACAATCCACCTGGGCACCTGGTATAAAGGTGAATAATACTCCAAATAACAAATTACGCACATTAATTTCGGATTTTTTTGCTATTGTCCACGTGGATTAATTCTATTTTGCAAAATTGCATATCTCTACGAGCATCAAATGAAAAAAGATTGAAAACTGTTGATTTTTTTTGACGGCTTATGATCATTTAAGTTCTTTTTGGGGTAGATACAACACATAACTCATACCGGATTGTAAGCAATACATTTGAAAAAAAAAAACATTACATCACTTTTATTAAATTGTTTTAACAAAGATTTATAACAAAACAGGTGACACACTGCAGAAATGAAATAAGTCTTAAAAAACTTGATGCAAGAAACAGGAAATCTGTTCCATTATCACACGATACATATATTCAAATGAGGCAGAGAGCACACTGGCGAAATAATTTCTGCTTTGTTTTTCAGAAACTCCAGTGTCCTCCGTCTCATTTGAATGTATGTGTCGTGTGATAATGAAACAAATTTTCAGTTTCTTGCAACAAGTTCCATGAAACTTATTTCTCCAGTGTGTCACCTGCCCAACTAATCAGTTCCTCTTCCAAAATCAGTATCTTCAAAATCTATAGGAGTGTATTCGTACGTAGTTTCTTCTACGCCAAGGTCTTCATTGTCGCTGCCATCATCCTCACTCGTATCGAATTCGTATTTGACGTCCGTATTGGAAATTTCCTCATCATCGTCTTCATCACTATCTTCACGATCTGAAAGTTTATATGTATATGATTAAATAGAAGCTGTTTGCAACATGTATTTTTGTTGTCGTTGACGCTATATCATTTTCTGGAATTACCTATAACAATATCGCTGATAACTCCTGTAGGTAATGCTGGACCATCAAACCAATTAAATACTAATTTATTTCCCTCCAACTTCCAGCCGCTTTCAGTTGGACTACAGGGTAATATTTGTAACGGGTGTTTCAGATGTGCATGTCGCCACATATGACCTATGTATCTACTTCGTGACAAATGCTGACGAAGCTCTGCTTGACAGGGTGGAATGGTCGACGCGTCGAAATCCATCAAGCGTTTCATAATTCGCTCCGTCGAATTTTTTGTTTGGTACACTTTAGAAAACAGCCCTATACGTGCGTCATTTACATTTTTCATGTTTCTCAAACAATACATATGACAAACAAATTCTTCCAATGTTGCATATGTTTGTGGTATTATGAGTTCAGAAGAATCAACCAAAATGTTGAAAGAATTTTGGAAACGCGTTGAAGCCTCGAGCAATTTGTATGGCCGCTGCTTTTCTCTTCTACAAAATGCTGGATTCTGGTCGCATCCGGTCAGAGCATGAAATCCCGCCAACGAGCAACTTAGTGTTTCACCCAATTGCTGATACAGTTTTGTAACATTTAAATTCCTCACATTGTTACCAACCCCAAGCCGCATCCATATGGTTAAATTTGTTTTCAAAAACTTCATATTGGCCAGACGTTTTTATAGCTCCATTGCTAACGGCATATATCATGTCTTCAGAAAATGATTTAACGAGCCTTTCACATTTGGTACTTTTCTTCTTTTTTAAATCGAAACCACTTAACAATGTCGACCAAAAAAGTATTAATAGTTCGGGTATATCGCATTCACCCTGTATCAATTGTTGTGCATTGAGCTCTTCTGGTAAAGTATTAGTGTCAATATTTTTAATTTCATCCCTTAATGATAATGCGGCTTTCCTTATTATTGAATTAATTTTTAATCTTGAAATGAATGTATCAGCTAGTTCATTAATACCCCCATATGCAAGTACCGTTGATCCCTCCACTTCTAATATTTGAATTTTCTCACCAAAGGTTGCCAGCAATTTTTTTTTCAGGTAACTGGTACAAAATATTCCAACATCTAAGGAAACATTATCATATTGTTCCTTCAGAATTATTTGAAAATATTGGCATATATCGGAATACAATGCGCAACGTTTCTTGGACAAAATCTCCGCATTAATATATTCGCAAAGATTTTGATAAGCTTTCTTGTAGTGGTTGCGACGATCATGCCAGGCAGTATGTTTATCAGATAATTTTTTATTCATTTTGTTTAGATAACTTCGGTAGCAAACTTTATGATAGATAAAAGGTGAATTGGAAGCTACGTAGAAACTTAAATCCAATAAAACATCTATGTCGTTCACTTCAGTTGCAATAGTTTTCATTTTTTTCAGAAACCTGTCGGATTTTGCAACAATTAATAATTGCAAACGGCCATTCCTCCTTTTATTGCACTTACGACAGAAGAAACATTTTTGATCAGGTTGTCCATGGAAATCTTTTAGGTCTTGAAGGTTACTGAAAAAAAAAAAGAAATACCAACCATGACTATAACTGAACACCTGATTTTGAATATACTATATTGAATTATACTGATACTTTTATTACCTGGTGTTCGCGCCCTCATCTGCTGATGTTCTCTGAATTTTTTGGTCTCGTTCGATATCGGCAGTGTGAACAGTAGCCGTGGAAGGTGAAATGGAACAGCAATAATCTAACGTCAAAGAAGGCTGTCCAGCACTGTTAGAAGGCTGTCCAGCACTGGTAGAAGGCTGTCCAGCACTAGTAGAAGGCTGTCCAGCACTGGTAGAAGGTATCAAAGAATGCAAAGGTGCACTCACATTAGGTGGAGGATGCTTTACTTTTGGTCTTGGTTTATATTTATTAAAATCTACAGCAGAAAATCGCCTGTAACATGAAGAATGATAGCCGGCTTCTCCATCATTCACAGCCTCTGGCATTTTAACGTTCTTGAATTTCAAATCGTTATATGTTCTGATTTTTAATATGTTTTTACATTTATCTAATAAAGATTCATTCTCGAAAAGCTTACATTTTTCATTTGATTCTTTCCGACAGAAAATGCATAAAGCCATCGTACGTAATCTGCTAGAAGAAAAATTATTATTTTTCAATAATACTAGCTATGACATACTTACGTTCTGTTATGTTCAACTATAGATCTCGGGAATAATGAGTATTTATTTTTTTTTTTTTATTTTTTCCAAGCAGCAAAAAATGACAGATCTGTCTGAAATTAAATTATAATTCCTGTATTCAGCAGACTCCCCTGTTGAACTGCTATGGCAACTGTCATTTTTCATCTATATGATTTAGAAAAGAATGAACAGTGAACGGGTTCAGTAAATAACTCAATAGTTCAGTGAAAAAAAAAAACGGATTTATGTAATTTTTTCCCCGAAAAAACGTCTTGTACTGATGTATCACTATTTCTTAACATATATTCTTTCGGCGAACATACGCATGAAGTGGTGTAAAATGATTTTTCATTCCCTCATGAGACAACGCATTGACCTCCGTCTTGCATCCCGTCATCCCGCCGCAGGAAGTCTTGCATAAGTATCCAGTGGCTATTCTACATTCAAGCTTCAATCTAAATCGACAATGGATTGGTTTAAAATGATATTTCACCCCTCTCAAAAATTGACACTTTATATCTAATATTGCAACCCAAAACCCCCATGAAAACGTCTTGCATAGGTTGATCCAATTCTGTTTGTGTACAAATTAACTGAATAAATGAATCCAAGACGGTGTATAATTATATATTTTCTTCGTTTTTGACGACATCTTCTTAAACATTTTTTTCAGTGGAATCCCCCACTCCCATCTATTTCCTTGCACAAGTGCGTTTCAGCTTCATGTTATCTAACTGATGATAACAATGCAAGACGGTGTAAAATGATTTGATGAAATAGGCGTCGTATCCCGTACTATATTATTACGTTTACGTAAATGATCGTATCCTTGGATGAAACATTTTCTAACCTCAAAAAGGGTTGTGTTGATTTTGTAGCTGTGTTTGTAGGTTTTCTTTTTATCTATAAGTACTGTGTTTATGTTGTTAAAGCTATTTTAGTGATAACTGACAGGAAGATCTCTCAAAAGTGTCGAATGATTGAGATACGTTTTCGGATACGGTTACGGACAACGCAACCCAACGAAACCATCGTATCTATTCTGCGCATGCGTAAATCGATGCGGATACGGATACGTTTGACATATTTGAAATAAAGATGTAAATACCCGATGGCGAAAAAAATAAAATTCTTTTGCTAAATTATTATTATTATTTTATTATTAATATTATTATTAAATATTGAATTATTATTTTTCTTTAGTCAAATGCGAAAATATTGAAAAGCGGGAGTTTTTGCTATGATGTTTTACGGCGGGAGGCATGACAAAAAAGCGGGAGTCTCCCGCCTAAATCGGGAGGGTTGGCAACCCTAGTTCTCGATCTTGGTTTTCACCAGGCAGGAAGCAATCCCAAGTGCAGGCTCTGGTCCAATAAAGGCAGTACGTTGCTAGATTCACGCGCCTGCTGGTCCGCCTCCTCGTCGCTTTTTTTGCCCGTGTGATCCAGGACTCAAACAAGAGTGACCTTGTTAAGCTCACTGAGTAGTTTAGGGTTGTCATACAGTCAAGCGTGTGCCTTGAGTTGACCTTGTTTGAGCAAAGGGCTCAGAGTGCTGCACATAGGCGGTTCTAGCCCATCTGTGCTGGGGCTGAAGCCCCTGCTCCGAGGTCGCTTGCCGCAGGTGGTGGAGGTGCCGTGTTCTTTCCCTTTCGCCAAATCTTTCTATTTGGTGTAATTATTTTGTATGCTTTTTCTTTTTTTTTTTTTTTCCTTTTTGGGTGTTTCAAACCTACACACCGAACCACGGTAGTTGGCACCCTCACTCCATCATTTATATTAGTCAGAAGCCCACCGAGTAAAAGTTCCGAGCATAAAATATTCGTAGAAGTTTAATCCAGTAATAAGCAAGAGAAAGTAAAGACCTTTTTCCCAGCGAGACTCAACAGTGATAGTCTCAAACGTATCGGTCGAAAAAATCGATGCAACTCCAGACCAGGAGTTAAAGAGCAAATCACAGAAGTCCGATATATTAATAAATCCGGAGTCAAGAAGAAACCGGAAAATGGCAAACACAACAATCCAGGACGCTTCGTCAGAAGCCAAAAGTCCCGCAACCCCTAAATTCATGGAGCCACCGACTTTCAACCCAAGTTTAGATTCCCCAATTAATTTTCTGAGCAAATATGAAAGAGCAGCAGCCCTGAGTGGCTGGTCCGACTCCTACAAAATATCTTTTTTTGGATGTTTCTTAGAAGACGCCGCAAATAGCTGGTTTTCAGCATATAAATCAAGCCAGACAAATTAAAACCGAACATGGGAAAATATAAAAACAGACTTCTCGAAGAAGTTTAGCAGAGAATAACCGCTAAGAAAATTGAAGTTTAGGTTGAATACGAGAAGACAACAGGAAAACGAGGATTTCAAGCACTTCAGCACTTCTACTTCGAATTATACTCCCTAGCTTATGAGATAGACCCTAAAATGCCCTTCGATACTTTTAGGGACCATTTCGAGAATGGTCTTCACTCATCGTTCTAGGAAACTTACTACCTCATGAGTTCAGGAACGATGGACCACGCCAAGTTGAGAACGTTGGTCCTGAAATTGAGCGAGGTGAAGGAACGCACCTTGCAAACAAATGACTGATGAAACTAGCCTACTAACATTGGACGAGCGAAAGGGCGGCAATTCAAGCGATTTTAAAGGCACGGCTGGGCACACAAAAAATTCCAGAAGAAATTATGAACATAACGACAGAAATTCTAAAAGTTTTGGGGAAAGTTATGGGTACAAAAAAGAGTACGAACCAAGAAGGACCTACAATAGGAATAGGGGATACCACAGAGACGGATCAAACATTGTACAAAAAACAGGGTGTTCCATGAAAAAAAAATAGTTCATCCATGGCGTAACTCTTTGGTTTTCTATTCAAATGATTTTTTGGTACCATTTATTAATTCTACAGAAAAAGTATTCCAATTGGTTATTTTGAATTTTTTCAGAAATAGAGGGAAGGTCAGAAATAAGCCGCTGTTCAGTCCTTGTTGGATGACCCTGTACACAAGTACATAACCATAGGCGGTTCTAGGTGAGGCTTAGGGGGGCTTAGTCAAATAGTTGAGCTCCCACAGGAGCTTCCACAGAGCAGCGCGTAAACTTTGGCTGCTCCTACTTATTACACACACCTACAGGCAACAGAGGCAACCCTGTCCCTAGCGGTGGGGCCTAAGGTTGCCTCTGTTTTCAGACGCCCCGAATTCGGATATTTATGAAATAATTGAATAAAATTTTATGAAATAATTAGATAAAGGTATTAAATCAGTGAAATTAATGAAATTATGTAGTTAATTAATCCTAACGCTTGAATAATTTTTATTCAGGGACTGCGAACTTTTGCCACTCATCACTAATTAAAATTTGGGGGGGCTTAGCCCCCCAAGCCCCCACCTAGAACCGCCTATGGTGCTGCATTACTGTCGCTGCATATATAAATATGCTTGCCCGAGTAACCTCTCTGGAGATTCTCCTGAGCATTACACACCTGTATGGCGCAGATCTCGCCTGAGCCGCTTTCCAGTATGGGAGTGTGACGCCCGGAGCTACTCGGGGCGTGGAGCCCCCGAGCTGTACGTACGCGTCAACCTATCAGCTGTCACATCCGTAGGTGGCTATTTATCTATTTATTTCTTGTTATATCTCAAGATTGAACATTTTAAAAAATATAGTTTTGATTCTCTTTCATTTTTGATAAATAAAAAAACAAACTGCACAAACAAACAGATAATTATTTTTAAAATTTGACATATTTGACACTAAGACAGGCGTCTCACGCCATGATACTGGAACAGTACAAATCTAGTGTGTGGCGCCCCTGAGGTGCTCTAGAGCGCGCCAATGTGCATACTGGAAAGCGGCTCTGGCAGTGGCGGCTCGTCGTATGAAGCAACTGAGGCCGGGCCTCACATGTAAAAATTACAATAATAAAGTAAAATTTTGAAATAATATTTATTAAATATTTAACGTTTTTCAACTATTTTCAATCATTAAAAGAATCAAAACATCGAATTTTCATTAAAATATAATACTATTTCTTGAATCTAGCGCGCGCTTCTACCTATTTATCCTTATAGGCGCTCAAATCGTTGCCGGACAGCATTAAAATAAAATAGCAATCCCAAAAATTTTGGCCTCATGTGCGTCACAGAACGCCGAAGCGATGCCACGCCACTCCCCACCACAACGCTTCAACTGTAGGTGAGACGATAGCGAATTTTTATAGGCATTGAGGCGCACAATTTTGGGCTTGTTAATAAGAAACCTTGCATCGCTTGCTGCTGCGACAAGTATTTAATTGGTTAATTGGCTCATATTTTTTATTTTGGTCTGTTGCGGGTTAAAAAACTGTTTTTTGGAATTTATTTTGTTAATTTGAAACTCAATATTTGTATTAAAATAAGAATTAGGTACCTACTGCTGTTGTTTTGCAACTGTAAGAAATGAAAATTTTCATTAGAAATATACAAAAAAAAATATCCGAGATGTTCTTTTGAAGAAATTTTGGGTCAAAATTTGGGCGTAACACTTGAAAATTTTGTTTGGGTTTGTTTGGGTTAACTTGATGGGCCATGGGCCTCACCAGTTTGGATTGTCACGAGCCGCCACTGGGCTCTGGTATACAGTTGGGTATCGACCCAATGCAATAAAACTCAATCTTGCCACAGGTCTTTTCCCATATACATGTATGTGAGGTGGTATTATAACGTAAACAGATGTGCGTTCGGAAGTGGAAAAATACAGCGCCGAACTGTGAAATTCGAAAAAGAAAAAGGCACCTCATCTGCATCTGCCCAGTTCTAGGGGCAATAAAAGACGAAAGAAGAAAATTAAACACATTTTTAAAATGATTGGGGCATTAAAAAAAAAGGGGGCAGCTAATCTATTCTCACGAACTTCTGGTAACATCCACAATGATCTTGGAAAATATTAAAAATTCCAGGAAAATGCTCTCTATGTATAGTAAAAGAACAGTTTTGTTCCAAAAATGCAATTTGCTGTTATCTGGGATCTTATGATAATGTTTTAATTTCGTGGGTTAGAGGACAGGGCCAAAAAATAAGAAACTATCAAGCTTTCGGCAACGTTTCGGAATATATTCTTCCTTTGTCAAGCCTTAAATTATTATTTCTGGAGTCCGTTCAGGATGGACAAAGGTATTTTTCAACATATTTTAGGGATAGCAATCGCAATCAATTTTCCCAAAAATTTCGTTATTTTAAATTTGAATGTTCGCCAATCTTATGATAATGTAAGGTAGATTGACATATTTACAATAATATCGGAGCAGAAAAATTTAATGCGAATACCTACTAAACTACAGATAATTAAATTAAAATGTGTAGGTGGTCATAAATACGACCACCACTAACGAATGTTATGCAAAAGTATTGAAAACCAAATATGTAATGCCCATTATTTTTTACGGCAAGTAATAAACTAGACTAGGTATTAAACCTTGTATTAAAAATAAAAAAATTCGTGTGTACTGACTTCACTATTTTCAACTGCTTCCAAAAATGTAGGTAATGTTTAATAATTCTATTTTTTTCAAATAAATGCATTATTTATACTTGGTTGCTAAAAGCAGAACAATTGATGACCTTAAGCTTCACTTTATTCTACGCTTCACTTTCACTTATTTCTTACTGAAAATTTGGCAATAAAGGTTTTGCTCTAAGCGAACATGGATGAATACGGATCAATTAGAACATTTTTTGAAGGTAAAAAACAATAAAGTTTATTTAAAAGTGTAGGCAATTGATATTAAGCAAAACAGAAAAGTAAGTGTTGAGGTTGATCTGAATTGATATTATGTTTTTCAGGAAAAAATATTTTTATTACTGGTGGCAGTGGTTTTCTCGGGAAACCTCTTATTGAAAAACTTCTGCGGTCCTGCCCAGATATAGGAAACATTTATGTTCTATTGCGGCCAAAACGAGGAAAACATGTACAAGAAAGACTAGAGCAGATTTTATTGAATCCTGTAAGTAAAAAAAATAGGAATAATTTTGTATCAATATACAGGGTGGAATTTTTAAATGGAATAAATTCAGTATCAGAAAGCCTGCTTATTTTCTAGAAAAATTAAAAAAAACGGGTGCTTTTATTTTTAGTTTGGCACATTTTTTCGGTCTTTTTATGGAATTTACCGGTCTCTTAAGGGTAGAAACCACCCCCAACTTTTTTTTTACAAATATAAAGATATGTATTGTGATAGCTCGTTGGAATGGGCATAAAAAAGGATTATGACCCATTAGTTACTTTTGCATTTCGGTAATGTAATTATGTAACTATTTTTGACATTAACACACTATTTTGGGTTTGAGAATCCGAGTATCAGGCAACAAATAGTGGGTTAACGTCAGAAATAATTACATAACGTTACAAATGGGACTTGTTTCGCATTAAGGTTCTACCAAGAAGAAATACTGAAGATATTCAACAATTTTAACTGCAAAAAAATTGTGTGGAAAAATATGTTTTTATTTTTTTTCTCGCTTTCTAGATCACCGAAATTCAAAAGTAAATAATGGGTCATTTTCCTTTTTTTATGCCCATTCCAACGAGCTATCACAAGACATATCTTCACATTTAAAAAAAAAAAAGTTGGGGGCGGTTTCTACCCTTAAGAGAGGGGTAAATTCCATGAAAAGGCCGAAAAAATGTGTCAAACTAACAATGAAGGGACCCTTTTTTTTATTTCCCAGAAAATAAACAGGCTTTCTTATACTGAATTTATTCCATTTAAAAATTCCACCCTGTATTTAGGGTAGATTATAGGAAACTAATTAGTTTAAAATTTTTCTATTTGTTTTTAATTTGTTTTAGATATTTAATCTCTTGAAAGAAACCAATCCGGACAATATTAAAAAAATTATTTGTGTCAGTGGAGATTCTAGTAAACCCGGATTAGGTAAGCCGCTTTTAGCTTAAACCTTTTTTTTCCTCGCTCTAGTAGACTCTAGCTAATCTATATTCATTTCTACCGAGAAGGTTATGGGATTACTTTTGACATAATTTGCTTGCTTGCATCATAGCTTGCATAAATTGACCGAAACAAATGAATCACTTCAAAAACGTCCGTCGTCCGTCGGTTCTTAAACCAGAAGTTATCCATTTTTAATTGGTCAAAAAAATTGAATGTGTCATACGAATTAATCTACGACGACCCTTTTTTTTTTCAAGTTATGACGTCTTCGATGTCAAAAGTATAAACCCTCGTCAAACGAACTTTACCTACCCACCTACTTATTGTTAATATAATGTATCAGCTTCAAAAATACGTAATCTACAGAATTAAAAGTCATAAAATTGAAATACATTGACCTACCAAATTTTATGCTCTAGAATATTGTGACAAAATTGCATCGAGAGTCCGGCCAGATTATAAGAATCCGCAATTGCTGTTGCTTACGTGGGTACATGTAATTTGGTTCCCAAGATAATGAGGGTTAGAAAAAAATATGTAACTTGGCTCCAATGGCCAAAAAAACATTTTTTGGTTACTACCATTTAGTCTACCTATCAGTGAAAGCACAATGAAACGAAACACATTTAATAAAATGTAATCGACTAATTTCATTTTTAAAATAAGTGTGACGGAACTAGCTATTACCCTTTTGTGGACTCTAGTCATTACCGCACCAGGGATGTCAAAAGTTTTTACTTTGACTGACTGTAAAAATTAACCATTAGGTGTTGGATCATTTAAGCCTTGTATTGAACTAGGGGTGCCTTGATTCTCATTTATACAAATAAAACGCTGAAATAGAATAGTTATCAATTTAATTAATAAATGAAGTTAATTCGGTTTAATCAGCAATCAAATCCTATCTAATAATTCCTATTTGGACGTCCAGTCGAACTACAAATTTTATACTAATCTAAAGTAAATAAGCGAGTAAATAAGTATCTTGATTTATAAAAATATTGAAATTTCATAATAATAATATCAATTATGGTTAAATGTTCAATGAACGAGAACACAAATTAACTAATTAGATTTACGAGAGCACAACACAAATAATTCGTGAACTTCAATCAGCTCACTGTATTCACAAAATGTTTATAATCCTTGAAAGTTCTTTTGTTTATTGAGAGTTAATAATTTGAGCACTTTTCTGCTGAAGTGTGTAAACAATAATTGCAAGAAAAGTCTATATATATATGCTCAGTTTCTATATACAAATTTACAAATTAATGTTCATTTCACGAGTGTGAAAACCAAATTTCTGTATTAAAGGTTAGAACAAACACTTCAATTTATAGTGCATTTCAACCGAATCAGTATTCAGTATTTATTAATTTATTGTTCGACTGTTTTGAGAAATTGAAACGGTCTTACTTGCTTAATCCAGTTCATACCGGTAAATCCATATAGTGATTATTTATCCATTTATCACTATTCGTAGTAATTTGCACTGTCAGCTAAGGGATTTTCCACTAAGAGAGAGAACACAATGATATACAGAGTTGAAGCCTGTCGAGAGTGAGACAGGAATAACCTTAAACAGGCGTAGTAGAGAATTTTGCTAGGTCCGAGATGACTTGCAACAATTTAGGGGTTAATTACATGAATTGTAATCAAAAATATCGTTGATAATATAGACCATGTCAGGCCTTGAGTCACTGGGGGTAGTATTTTACTATAATTCGCGTACTAACGGGGGTTTTCTGGGGGTTTTTTCCTCTGTAGAGCGTTCAGAGGCGAGAGGGTGCAGAGTCTTTGCTTACTCTTCTGCTTCTTGATTACTACTGTTGTGTACCGTGCGTCGAGTCGACTGCCTTTTTCGGAGCAGGTCGCATAAATCAGGGATGTTGGGTGGCAACTGACCAATCACAACAACAAAATAGATCCATTGCTCATAGGGTAATGAAGAAATCTGTAATTTTACCGATTCAAAAGGGCTGCTGTTGCCAGTTTTACAGGATTCTTTTTTTAGAATATTATTTTTATGATAAATAATAGAAATTGAGATTATATTGATAAACTACAAATAATAACATTTTAAACTTGTTGTGGGTTATTTCCGCAACATATTCCCCCCCTTGAAGTTTCCAAACTTCAATGAGAGACGAAACATTAACAAAAAAAATAAACAACATATTTACAATAGAGAAAGTAGCAGGTTTTAATCCTGAATTGGTAAAGGACATACCTTTGCTATTCCTCGAGTAAAAACACCACTTTGTGTTTTCAATTTTACCACTCTGGTTTTATTGTCTCGTCCAGGGAATACCTCTAAGACTCTGGCTAAAGGCCATCTTAGAGGTGGAGTGTCATCTTCCTTTAAAAGTACTAATGTATTGGGGGTTAGATCTAGAGAATTCCGGAACCATTTAGGTCGATTTTGGAGTCTGTTCAAATAGTCCACTGACCAACGCTTCCAAAACACTTGTTGGATGTGTGAAATTTTCTGCCACATAGAAAGGCGGTTCTCATTAAGATGACTTAAATCCTTATCTGGGTGAGCCGTAAGGCTTGAACCAATTAAGAAGTGACCAGGGGTTAGAGTTTGATAGTCGTTTGGGTCGTTTGAAAGAACGCATAGGGGACGTGAGTTCAATATGGCTTCAATTTGCACTAAAATTGTATAGAACTCTTCAAACGTGAAGCGGGTTTCCCCAACCAGCCTGACGATGTGGTATTTGGCGCTTTTAATTGCTGCCTCCCAAATGCCACCGAAATGAGGACTTCTTGGAGGGATGAACTTGAATTCAGTTTCATTTTGAGAGAGAAAGTCCCTGATTGAGTTCAAATGGGTTCTATTTCTAAAAAAGTTATGCAATTCCTTCAATTGATTTTGGGCGCCTTGGAAATTGGTGGCATTGTCACTATGTATCACGGTTGGGTTACCTCTCCGGGCAATAAATCTTTTCAATGTCATGATGAAGTGTTCGGTAGAGAGCCCTGTCACCAATTCAATATGAATTGCCTTGGTGGCCAAGCAGACAAAAATTGCAATATAGCATTTAATTAGGGGAGCTTTGCGTAGCTTGGACGATTTTATTAAGAAGGGTCCGCCATAGTCTATTCCAACTTGGCTGAAACAGCGGGAGACATTCACACGCTCCTTTGGCAGACTTGCCATAATTTGCTCTGCTGGTTGAGCTCTGAATCGGAAGCAGGTAATACAATTGTTGATTATACGTTTTGTCTCCCTTAAACCATCGAGTGGCCAGAACCTTAGGCGAAAATTCGATAGCACTGTTTGTGCGCCTGCATGACCTAAACGCTCATGTTCTTGGATTAACATTAATGAGACAATATGATTATGGGAAGGGAGCAAAATGGGGTGTTTTTGATCGAAGGAGACATTAGCGTTGTCTAATCTTCCACCCACTCTTAAAAAACCATCCTTATCTAAGAAGGGTTTGAGTTTAATCAGTGATTTGTTGCTCAAAAATATGTTTTGATTCAACTCTGAGATTTCCTTTGAAAAATGAATTGACTGGAGAATTTTTGTGATCAAGTTCAAGGCTGCTTTCAGCTCTTGGACTTCGAGAGAATCTTTTGTTCTATCGAGATGTTTACATTTTGTGTTATGTGCAAATCTCAACATGTACCCTACTGTGCGTTGGAGCTTACGAAATTTAGAAGCTCGATTGAATATTCCGGGCCAAAACAGATCTTGATCTTTCTTATCAGTTCCTACTAGAGCTATTTTCTTTTCCTCAGGGACATCAGACAAACTGGGAGTGTTGCCAAACTGGGAGAGATTTAATTCAGGGTCATGAAGAAATTTAGGGCCTTGCCACCAAGTATGGCACTCCTGGACTTGGGGTATTGGCAAACCTCTAGATGGGTAATCAGCGGGGTTGTCTGAAGAATTTATATGACGCCATTTGTGATTTGAGGTGAGTTCTTGAATTTGTGCTACTCTGTTAGCCACAAAAACAGTCCAGCGCGACGCATGGGAATTTATCCAGCAGAGCGCAATTTGCGAATCTGTCCACAAATTTACAGAACTCAATGAGAATCGATCTTCGAAGATTGCGATTAACTTTGAAACCAACTTCGAGAGCAAAACCATGGCGCATAATTCTAGCCTAGGCAATGTAACTGTTTTCAGAGGAGATACTCTAGATTTAGAGGTAATCAAATGACAAGATACTGTTCCATCAGTATATAGGGCGCGAACGTAAACGCAAGCGGCGTATGCCTTGAGGCTGGCATCAGAGAATCCGTGGAATTCCATGGAACTTAATGTTTTGTCAGAAAAAAGGTATCTAGGGATCTTGAGCGTTTTGAGGAGAGGAAGGTCATGTATGAAACCATTCCATTCTTGCAAGAGTGAGTCATCAGTAATTGGGGTGTCCCAATCCAACTTCAAAGTCCAAAGTCTTTGTACAATTATTTTTCCTGTCACAATGACTACAGATAAAAAACCAAGGGGATCATAACATTGAGCTATTACAGAGACAATTTTTCTTTTCGTAATAGGGGTTGTTAATTTTACTTCAGGAATAGAGACGCAGAAGAAGTCGAGAATTGGGTTCCAAATAAGGCCAAGTACCTTATTCGGGTTTTCGTCAAAATTCATATCTACTTCGACTATTTTTTCTTTATGAGAGATTTTGTCTAGAAATTCCTTTGAATTTGAACACCATTTGTGTAATTCAAATCCAGAAGCCTTTAATAAAGAGATAAGTTCGCTATAGAGTATTTCTAAATCCTTAAGGTCATCACATCCACTTAGGATATCATCCATGTAACATTGTTTCAATAGAGAATGAGACGCGAGGGGATAATCTGAGCTATTTTTTAATGCAACATCGTTTAAGACTCTAGTTGCGAGGAATGGAGCACTGTTAGTGCCATACGTGACAGTGGTCAATTCGATGCACTGAAGTGGTTTTTCAGGCTCGTCTCTCCATAAAATATTTAATAAAAAGGTCTGAGTGGGATTTATC